TTGCCAGAATCCGGAAGTTTGAAACCAGTTTGGATCAAGTTCGGTTGCGAAGAAGTTACGAAATTCCGGAGCGCGCGCGAACTTTTCGTGGACTCCCGAATTGGATCCGATTTCCCCCCGCTATTTCCCCAAGTGTTTCCGCAACTGTTCTGGACTTCGGAACTTGGTTCGGGTGTTTCCTAAATGCATGCTGTCGAACTTCCAAACTTTGACCATGTGAACGTTTTTTGTTTTGCCCCCCACCCCCGGAATGTTTGAATTGGTTTTGGATTCTTGTTTCTTGCAATAATGTGTTTCCGAACTCGAACTTCAAATTTTCCCTCCGCCCGAATTCAATCCCTCTTCAGCAAATTACAACCCTTGCCGAGGACCGCGCGATCACTGTTTTTGTTTGCAGTGCGGTTCTTGTTTGCAGGGCAGTTTTTCCTGTATTGTATTTTTCCCATCGCTTTTTTGTTTTTTGTTTTTTTCCTGTGCTGTAGTGGCGCTGAGCTTTAGTTCAGGACCCAGCGTGGGAGCAAAGCGCGGTGCGGGGAGGCTCAGGGAGGGGTGAAGCGCACATGTCGGGGGCCACCGCGCGGAAACAAGCGTCTTGCATGGCACAGTTTTCGTTGCAGTTTATTGCGCGTTGCAGGTTTATGTGCAGCGCAACTGTTTTGCCCTGTTAGTGTTTTTGCTCGCGCTGGAGCTCAGACTTCCGTGCTGGAACCCAACGTGGTTTGGGGAGGTTCAGGGGGGGGGGGGGTGAACGGCACAGGTCGGGGACCACCACGCGGAACCATATGTTTTCGCATTGCATGTTTCGTACCGCAGTTTTTTTGCATCTTGTATGTTTTTTGCATTGAAATCATGATGCGTCGCATTTTTGGTGTTGAGCTGTAGTGCCGCTGCCTAAGCGTGGACCAAGGATCCCGCGTGAGAAACAAACGTGGTTTGGGGAGTCCCTGTGAGGATGAAGAAGGCGCATGCCAGGGACCACAGCACGAAAACATATTGTTATGGTGCATTTCCGTTGTTTTCATGCATGTCAGGGAGGGTTGAATCGCACAGCTCGAATTAGATCCACGCGAAAAAAGTGTTGTTTGTTTGAATGGCGTTTTTTTGTGCATGCCAGTTTCTCCCCACGAAATCAACCAACAAAAACACAGGGAATGGACGTCCGAGCGATGGCCAGTCCCCTCGTCCGCGCGCATGCCTCTGGCCATGATGCGCTGCCCCCCCCCCCTCTTCGGGGGCCGTGCGCTTCGGCGTACCCAGAGGGCGACGAGCTGCCAGCAGAGACTTCACGTTGCAATTTTGGTTCCACGACGGGATGATGTCCGGGTGGGGAGGCCCAACACCGACTCCCACATTCACACCCATGAGGAAGATGGAGAAGCAACAACAGTTTTCATGGATTCCCGAATCCGCCTCAGAGAATCAAGAGTCTGGACTAGACCCTGGGCGTTATCCTGAAGCTTCTTTGTCAGTCGAATTCTAATCACCGGACCTGGACTATTGTTGAAAAGAAACGCTTGGAGTGAAGTTTCTTTTCTTAGCGTCAAATTCTCTTAACTCTTAGCACGGGTGTTTCTTGGGGTGCGCTCCGACCATAAGCTCAAGGCGGCTCCAACCGTGGCCAAGAGGGCTCCCCCACAAGCCCAAACGAGCGACAAGCACTCCACCACCCCACTGCGTGTCGGCATCAGTTGCCGAGACGTGTGCCCCCACCTCTGCGAGGGGGCCGTGGGTTCCCGCAAAACCTTCCCGAGGCTGTGGATGGGGGCGACGAGGAGCTTCGCGAAGGTCCCCCCCCCAAAGGCAAACACGTCCAAGAGACCTCGATCCCCGATTCTCGGTCCTCCTCGACTCCAGCCTGGACCCTCCGAGGCAAGGGAGGGCAGCTCGGCCGGCTGCTGTGGTACGACGTGCGGTGCTTCGCGCTGAGCCTCGCGGTGCTCGCCGTGGTGGCGGTGGTGACGCGGAGGGCTTACGGCCACGTCGTCATCAACCCGGACCCCCTCGCCTTCCCAGAATCGGGGGTGGACAGAACCCCCAACAGTGACACGTCGATTAGTGAATTGTCCGTTTTCGGTTCTCGAGAGGGCGCCGCGGCCGTTATTTTCCAGGCTTGCGCCCGCCAGGTTTGGGCCTCAGGTCGTTTTCACTAAACCACGTTTTACTAAGGGAGGTCTGTCCATCCCCGACAGAAACGTGCGCAACGGACACCGTTTGTCCATACTCTGCCTCTTGGGGCTCTCACTGGGCCTGTGGGTCCCTCACTGGGCCCCGGGTCCGTCGGAGAACGACTCGGGATAGAATGCCGATCGTGATCCCGGGCCCCTGCGCTCACGAGGAGGAAAGAGTATCGATATGGCTACGGCTCCCTCGATTTTGCCTTTTTGCGCCTCCCGGGGTCCCTTGTCGCCATGGCTGGATTGGCATCGGTAGTCTGGGATGGTCAGAACGCACCCCGGGAGAGGTCTGGGGAGTAGCAGCATCAGTTTTGCTGGGTTTTCCCAGCTGGAGCCGAGAAGTTCTTCCTCTCTTTCCCCCGCCTCCTCCTTTCAAGCTGTTTTCCAACCCGGCAAATCTCAGTAACACTGCACCATAATCAGTCTACGAGCTAGTGGCTAGTGGATCTGCGACTCGAGCAAGTTCTACGAGCCACCCTTCGAGCTGGTGGGTCTAAAATCCTGGGGAAGCTCTACGACCTCCTTTCCCCCTCCCCCCCCTCCCCGCTGCGGGGCCTTCCCGCCGCTGCCGATCGCCTCCTCCAGGCGGCGCCCCGCGGTCGCGGCGCCCCGCGGTCGCGGCCGCCGCGGGCGGGCCAGAAGTGCCCCGATCCGGGCCGATCCGCGTCGACCGCAGGGGGGAGGAAGCGGGAGTATGACGGCGAGGACGAAGGAGGATGGCGCAGGTGCGGGAGAGAGGAGGAGGTGGAGGAGGAGGAGGAGGACGAGGACGAGGACGAGGACAAGGACGAGGAAGAGCAGGACGGGTTGTAGAGGAGGAGGAGGACGTGGAGTAGGAGGAAGAGGAGAAGGAGGAGGAGGAGGAGGAGGCGACATGAGACGGGTTGAGGAGGAGGAAGAGGAGGAGGAGGAGGCGGAGGAGGAGGAGGAGGAGGAGGAGGAGGAGGAGGCGGAGGAGGAGGAGGAGGCGGAGGAGGAGGAGGAGGAGGAGAGGAGGAGGGGGAGCAGGAGGGGGAGCAGGAGGAGGAGGAGGAGGAGAAGGAGGAGGAGGGGGCGGAGGGGGGGGAGGGGGAGGAGGGGGAGGAGGAGGTGGAAACTGCGACGGGTCGGGAGGAGGAGGAGGAGGAGGAGAGGGCCAAGGAGGAGGAGGAGGAGGAGGAGGAGGAGGAGGAGGAGGCGGAGGAGGAGGGGCGATGTGGAGGAGGAGGGGTTTTGACTAGGGCTGCCCAGTTGGAGATTGGAGTACGAGCAGCAGGACTTCCTGCACTGGGTGCTGCGCTCCGCACACTTCCGGGAGGACCTCTTCTGGTGCAAGGCCCCTCGCGGGCGTGCGAGGGGGTTGGGGGGGGGCGAGGTGGCGCCGAAAGAGCCTGCATGGGCGACGGGATCGCGCATTGTTTTTTTGTTGGGGGGGCGGGGGCTGGGCTGTTTTGCCCCCCCCCCCCCCCTGGCGCATCGAACACCAGCAGAAGGAGGAGAGAGGAGGAGGCTAGCCAGGTGCCTTCGCGCGGTATCTGACATTCTACCACTCCCTCCCTCCCATCTCTTTCCGCCGACGCGTGTCCTAACGGACCAGAAACTCCCAAAAGGACCCCATCGTGTTATGCGCAATCGGAGAAAGGGGAGCTGCGTACATCGGAGGAACAGGTGGCGGATGAACAGGAGGAACAAGGGGAGGATGAGGACTGAGCAGGACGAGGGCGAGCAGCAACAGCAGCAGCAGCAGCAGGAGCTGGAGTGGAACGAGCAGGGAACCAGGGGAAGTCGGAGTAGGGGGAAGGGGGCGGGCGATAACGATGAGCAAGTGGCCCGCGCCGGGGGCGAGACCGCCATTCTGATCGACGAGAGCAAGGCACCCGATCTGACATGAGGATCACGCTGCAGCGGAAACGCCATTTTGGAGGGACCCGCATTTTTGCCAGACTAGAACATCAGATAACAACAAGCTCTGACCAACCTTCTGTGAAACCACGTTGCACGGAGGGGGGCGCACCACTCGTTGGTGGAATGGAGGATAATACGTAACCAGTTTGTGCCGTTGGATAGGCGGATGAGAAGGAGGGGGAGGATGGAGAGGACAAGGAGGAGGAGGATGAGGATGAGGAGGAGGAGGAGGAGGTGGAGGATAATGAGGAGGTGGAGGAGAAGGATGGGGACACATCATGATGCTGTTGCTGCTGATGATGATGCTGATGATGAGGATGATGATGGTGATGAGGATGAGGATGATGATGATGATGACGACGATGATGATGACGATGATGATGCTGCTGATGATGCTGATGATGATGCTGATGCTGCTTATGGTGGTACTGATGATAAGTATGATGATGCTGTTGCTTATGTTGCTGATGATGACGATGATGATGGTACTGATGATACGTATGATGATGGCGATGATGATGACGATGACGACGGCGAGGACTATGATGTTAAGGATAATGATGAGGAGGAGAAGGCTCAGTCAGAGGAGGGCACGGAGGATGCATACTTCTTTATAACTATTCCAAGTATGGTTGCATTTCGTCGTCTCTCCTCGCGCGAGCCCTTCCTAGCGCTCTGGGTCGCTACTCATTTCAGTCGTGCTTCAGATTTGTAACGGAACCAGTCTACGACTTTGACGCACAGATGGGCAAGCAGCCTTTGTGAGCGACATCGCTCAGTGGCGGACCCATCCGTGTTTACAGGAGCTGGAGGTTTAGGGGAGGAGGAGGAGGAGGAGGAGGAGGAGGAGGAGTCAGTACACGGGCGCTGCTACTAGGGAGACTTACATGATGTAAGCAAGCAGTTCGAGACTTGCTTGTGAACAGGGTCAGTGTCTCAGCCAAGAGCTGCAGGGAGTCAGGACACGCGCCCACCATCCCGGCCAATACAATCTGGAGGCCTTCTTCACAAGGAGGCCAGGAGTTGTCTCTCGGAGTGCGCCGTTGGAGAAGTTGTCTCCAGCTGGCCCCAGGACCCAGACATGTGTTTGAGAGGGCTGGTTGTGCATCAGTGCGGTCGGAGGGAGGAGGAGCGACACCACCACCACCAGCTGTCCCCCCCCCAGCGAGGAGGTGTGCGATGCCTCCTTTAGCTGGGGATTGGACATGTCTCGAGCTGGACGCCACGGAACAAAGTGAATCGTACCACCAGGAGGACCTTTCCTGGCTCCTGGCGATGGTGGTGGTGGTGTCGAGTCTCTGCGCTCTAATTTTTGTGTCTGGCGCGAGAATCGGGGGATCGGGAAAGGAAAGGAACAACATCTGCTGCGCGCAGCTGGCTTCGGCCCCGCCGCCGGGCGCATTGCTCGATACATTACCGCCTCCGCGCCGAGAGGCGACGAGAGCACCAGCTGCGTGATCTAATTCGCTAACCCCCTTTGCAATCGCCCCCGTTCGCCCGACTCGACCACTCAATTACTTCAGCACTGCAGCCGCGATGTAAACATACGGGAATTGTGCTTGCAGTCGTCTCCGATCCATGACACAAGACATGTTCCAACGGGTGCATTCATGAACATATGTAATTCCAATGACGTTCGGGAAGGAGGGAGTTCGACACCCAGCGGTCAGTCTTGTTCACCCTTACAACTACAGCCAGGACGCATTGGCGAATTAGCTTCGGCGTAAGTTGCAATAACAGTGTACGCACGTAAGTCTCTAAGTGGCATGCGCCAAACAACATCCATCACTGCTCCATCCGCATCCGTTTCGGCTCCAGCCGGCCCGAGCCGAGCGGAGTTTTGCCATGCCCGCGCGGTGACTCTCGCGCGGCGGCCGCCTCCGCGGGGCGACGCCCGGGGAGGCATGGCGCTCGGCACGCGGTGCTGCCTGGCCCTCGCGCAGGGGGCCCTGTGGCTCCTCTTCTCGCTCCTTGACCTGGTGCTGCTGCCGCTCTTCGGCCTCGGGAGGCGCCTCCGCGGGGCGCCCGGGAGGCCCGCCGCCGCGGCGCGGGCCGCCGGGGGCGGGCAGCCAGCGGCCGTCCACGGGGCCGCCGCCGGCGCGGGGCAGACGCCCGCCGAGGCGGCGGTGTCGGGCGGAGGGCCCCTCGTCGTCGTCATCGTGGGCGCCAGCTGGGGGGGGCTCGCGGCATGCCACCAGCTCGCGGACGACCCACGGTTCCGCGTGGTGCTCATCGACAGGCGGGAGTTCTTCGAGTACACCCCGGGCATCCTGCGGCTCTTCTGCCAGCCTGGCCTCCACGGCTCCATGGCGCGGAAGTTGCCGAAGGGCTCCCACAAGTCTGTGCTCGGGCAGGTGACCAGCACGAGTCATGACCACGTGGTTCTCGGCGACTCGACGAGGATCGGCTTCGACTATCTCATCTTGGCAACTGGTGCGGATTACCGGCAGCCTATCACACCGTCTTCGAGCGACGTTACGTTGGCCTCCCGCGCGGCCACCTGGCATGAGGAGGCCGCCAAGGTGCGAACTGCGAGGAGCGTGCTAGTTCTGGGTGGCGGCGCGGTGGGCACGGAGCTTGCGGCAGAGATTGTCTGCCACTTCCCAGAGAAGCGGGTGACACTTGTCGACGGGGCTCCGAATTTGGTGTTTCGTTTTCCGCCCAAGACCATTGAAAAGACGGAGTCGTGGTTTCGCAGCAGGGGGGTGGAGCTTGTCCTCGACGAGCCCCTGGAGAAGTGGGACACGGGCAGCTGTACGTTCAAGTCGGGGCGCGTAATCGAGGCGGACTTAGTGTACGTATGCCTCGGCATGCAGTGCAACACTGAGTGCGTCGCGAAGGGCGACCTGGCCAGCTCCTTGAGCACGCGCAAGGAAGTCCAGGTGAACGAGTTTTTCCAGGTCAATGGGCACAGCAACATTTTTGCAGTGGGAGATGCGATGTCGCACCCGAGCCGAGAGATCAAGCAGGCGTACTACGCAGAGATGAATGGCTGCTGCGCGGCAAAAAATGTCATCCGCCATGCTCAGGGTGAGGCGTTATTGAACTACCCCGAGGCCATCGCTGGGGCACCAGCGAGCCCGCTCGTGTACGTGGTCAGCCTTGGTAGGTACGATGGGTCCCTGGGCTTCAACAGCCTGGTGGTCAACGGCGCCGTGGCGGCCCTGGTGAAGTGGATCCTCGAGTGGACTAAGGTGGCACAGGTCGAGGGTCGCCCCATCGGCACCTTTGTTTGGGCCATTGCCGACGCCATCACATTCTGGCTGTCGCGCACGGTGCTGCCACCCGACAAGGGCAAGTGACTGCAAGTGAGCTGCTCTGCCAAGCCGAGCACTCGCGTCTTCTGCTCGGGTTTGCCTGCCGAAGCGCTGCCGGTGCTCACAGTTGGTTCGCAGCAGCCTTATTGTGGCTTCCGTAACATAATCTTGAGCCAGAGCTGGGGGATCTTGCCTGTCGGGGGTGGTGGGCGAGGGGCGGATGATCGATCGAGGGCGAGCCCTGTGTTCTGTGTCCTCAGTATTCTTCCACTTTTCAATTTTGTTCTGCGTGTCAGCAACATTTGACGGGTGGTCACTGGACCAGTTTTCGATACATGTGCCAGTCAGTTGGCACCGTCTCGAGGTCGGAGCATTTTTTCTGCGGTGATCTCGGAACAGTTTTGAACATTGACGAGAGGAGCGTAGGTATGTGCGTATCTAGCATGCATCAAACCATCTTGTGCCTCGCGCTTATTTGACGAATCGCCGCTTCCTTGCGGGATTCATCACTTTTCTGCGAACCCCGTTCGCGTCTGTCAGTTGGTGCACGCGGGCTCAAAGAGCTGATTGACGGCACCGCGGACAGAATGGGAGTGAGCGCAGCTATACAAACAATCGTCAACTTATCAATTTCGTGAAAAGTCTTGCTGGCCCACTTCAATCAAGCCACATCCATATTTACTTCATCTCAACTGTCAAACCAACTAGTCAATGTCTACTGGCCTTCGGCCAAACCCGCCACGGTGCCTCGGATATGATCAGAGGCCTCTTACATGTTTCTTGGGTTCTCCTGAGACGCCTCTTGGAGGCCTCTTTGGGGTCTCTCGGGAGTCTCCAGGGGCCTCTTTGGCCGTTTTGGGCATCTTGGGGGCCTCTTGGTTTCGTCCTGGCGATCTCGAAGGCGAGGGTTTTGAAATGTCACTTCGAGTTCCCCCCCTGGTTCTGTCTTTGGGCCGTCCTGAGGGCCTCTTGGGGGCAGGATCTGGTCGTCCTGTGGCGATCTTTGGGGGCATCCTCGCTCTGGGCGTTCTTGACAAACAAGCTGAGTGACTCTTGAACTATTGCGAGAACGATGTAAGGTGTTTAAGTGATTTGTGCCTCTTGGGTCGGCCCCCACGGCCTCGAAGACCGCCGAGGATGCGCCCAAGAGTGCCCCAGAGCCCTGTTGGACCGCATTGGAAGCCGCTCGGGACCCTCTGTGGTCTTCTTGGCGCTCTCTGGCCACTTGGGGAATTCCTGAGACGAGCCCCAGAGATTGCAAAGGCCTCACGGCCAGTACCGTCGACCCTGAAGGGAGACGACGACGGCGACCACGGCGGCGACGGCGACGACGACGCTGACGTGGGCCAGAGTCCTCAGGGATGTTTCTTGGTTTCTCTTCTCTGGGGAGGAATTCTGGGGCCTCTCGGGAGCTTCCTGGGGGCCTTTTGGGAGCCTCTTGGGGGCCTCTTCGGGCTTCCTGGGGACCTCTTGTGGGCCTCTTGGGGCCTCAGGGGCTTGCGCCACTCTTCCGACTCCCAAATGAGGGAGAAGAAACCGATGGAAGCGTGCATGTCTGGGTAGGAGCTGCAGTTGATCTCTTTCGCGTGTGTCCCAGGACCGCACAGCTGCGTGGAGCGCATGATCAGCGGCCGGCCATTAGGGGAAGCCACCACACGAGTAGCAACCAGTGAGTATGCACAGGTCTCGGAGGGGTTGGGCTCTTATGGGCCACTGTGGGACCTTTCTGGGAGGCTCTGTGGCCGTCTTCGGGCGATTCCGGGACATCTTAGGCCGTCGTGGGCGGTCGGATGCGCGGCAAGCGAGAGCGGCCAAATCGGGTGAACGGTTTTTGGAAATTTGTTGGTTTTGCTTTGTTGAGCTTTCTTGAATATCCTTGTGCAGCCCTCTTGGGGCCCTCTCGAGCAGTTCTCCATTTGAGCTCAAATTGGCGGGTGCGTCTGGCCAAACTGGCATGCAGGCCAAAGGTGCGCCAACACATGTTTGACTTCCATTGCCCATTTTGACCTCATCGACTCATCGACAAACGGATCGGCGGACTCGGGGAGGCCTAGGCCAAATGGGCATGTTTGCCATATGGCTCGATACGGAGAAACGCAAGAAACAGTGGGGGCAGACAAATGGGGGATCGCAGGCCAAATGGGGCTGCTTTTCGCATGGGCCTACCTGGAAGCGCATCGGAGAAGGGGCGCGGCCCGGAGGCCAGCTGTTTTACTTGTGGTCTCTAATGGACTAGTCGGACATGTGCGGGTGCACAGAGGGGGGAGGCAGAGCCAAATGGGGCCGTTTTCCACACGGCCCTATATGGAAACGCCTCGACAAAGGGGGTTGATTAGGAGGGAGGCCTGGAGGGCAAATTGGGGCGTCTTTCGTGTGACACCATGCGGAAACGCGTCAACAAGGAGGGGCGGACGGGAGGGGACTGATGCCAAGTGAGACAGTTTTCTGGATGGTGCCATACAGGAATTCGTCGAAACAGGCCAGGAGGGCGGATGAGGTTAGATTCGCGCCGTATGGGGAATCATCCGAATTGGGAGGGGGGGGGCGGGTGAATTCAGATCTTAGCCTCCTTATGGAAGCATGTGATCATCCGACGAAAGGAGGGAGGAGGTTGAAACGGGGGCGATTTCGGACCTCCGTGGCTGGGGGGACTACAGGGTGGAACAAGATCACACGCCTTGTCATCCCCAGCAAGCAGGGGTCGGCGGATTTAAGGCCAACCAGCGCAGATGTCATATATATATAGTTATATATATATATACATGCAGATATGTATATGTATATGTGTATGTATATATGTCTATTCTGTAATCAAATCCACCTGAAGCTCCAACATAGCGAACACTGCCAGGAGGAAGAGCTTGTAGATTTTGCAGCTTGCCTCGAGGTCCTCTCCGGCATCCTTTCCATGCCGTCCCACTCCAGTGAATGATGCCGGTGACATGCGCGATCGTGCCTTTGTGATTGAGTCCACGAAAGCTCTAACAGAGTGAAGGCTGCAGCGGGGGAAACAATTCACTTTTGCAGCGCTCCTCGAGGTCCTCTACGGCATCCTCTCCCTGCCGTTCCTCCCGTTCTCCGTGTCGTTTCTCCTGAAGGTGCCCGCCCCAGACTGCCAAGAGAGCCTGCGCGGGCTCCGAAGACGCCCGCGCGAGCGCGCGCCCGGTCGCTGCTGGGGGGGGCGGGCGGTCGTCTTGCTGCCTCTTTTGCCAGACGAGGGGATTTGCTCGGCGGCGGAGTCCGAGCCCTGCCCTTGCCGATCGAGGGCTCGGGCCACTCGAGGAGCGGCGGGGGTTGGGCTCCAGAATCCCTCGGCCACGTGGCGAAATCCGTGCCCTACCCGCGCCTCCCGTCGAGTCAGGATCGGGTGTAGCCAGGACCGCAGGTAAGGGGACCCGGTCAGTGGTAGGGCCCCGGAGCCCCTACATTGGCCAGAATCACTAAACCAGGTCTGCCGTAGCTGGTGTTCTTTCGGGTGACGGCAATTCCGGTTAGTGACATGGAGCGGGGGGGAGCCGGGGGGGGGGGGCGTTCCTCAGTACACATCACGAAACCAGGTCACACTAAACCTAGTTTTGCCAACGCCCGACAGGAGAATCGGTGGTTGGTGGGCGTAGGGTTCGGATGTCGCCACCCACTCGCGGCCCTGCGCTCGAGGCTCGAAGTTCTGCAGTTCTCCACCCGTCGAGGGCTTCCCGTGGGTGCCGTGGTCGTCCCGTGCGGCTGCCCGAGGCCTGGCTTGGGCGCGAAGCCCGTCCGAGACGAGGGGTTTACGGTCGGGAGTGCCCAATTTCCACGCGTCAGCGCCCCGAGCCTTTCCGGCCCCCCCTGCCCCGCAAAGCGCAGCGACACGCTATCCGCTCGCAGGGCATGGCGTGTCGCCGTGGCCGCCGCCTTCGACACGCTGAGCCAAAGTTCCTGATCGTATACGTGCTGCTTGAGCGATGGTTTTGGGCCTCGAGGGGCGGTAGAACATGGATATATTCGGGCCCCCCTGAGGCCCAGATGCATCGATATCAGCCGCCCCCTTGCCTGGGGCAACCCCAGGGAGGGCTGCGCGCTCCAGGAGCCGAGGAGCGGACATCTCCTCGGCGGAAGCCTGGCGGGAGTCTGGCGGAAGCCGTCGGTGAGCCCCCCCCCAGGAGTTGGGGGGACCCGGGTTTCCGGGGTGGGCTTTGTGGCTTGCATTTGCACAGATTCTCCGACCGCCCCGCAAGCTGCCACGACGCCACTGGAAAGTGTCCCATCCCTTAGAGCCCTCGCGCCCTCTGGGTCTGAGGGTCTTTCGAAGCTCCTCCTCGTCCTCCTCCTCCTCCTCCTCCTTCTCCTCGCTCTCCAACGCCAAGGCAGATGCCACCCTTCGGATAGTTGGGGGACCGGGGGGGGGGGGACGGGCTGGGCGCGGCTTTCGCTCTGCGAGTGGAGTCTGATCGCGTCTGCAGGCTGTCGACCTCTCGACCTTGCGTCCTGCCTGTCTCGGACCCGTCGATCTCAAGATGTACCAGTCGGCCTCACTCTCTCTCGGTCTGATTCTCTATCTGTAGGCCTCAGCATCAAGATGTGTGTACATGTACTCCAGATTTCGTAATAAAGGGAGGGGGGTCTCATTTCGGGGGGGATCTCTTCCAGGCTATCTTGGAGGGCCTGGGGGGGTCTGGGGACGATGTTTTGGAGGGTTCTCCGACGGGGGAGGTCTGAAATGGCTTGTCTTGGAGGGTCCAGACCCCCTCCCTTTTATTACGACATCTGGAGTACGTACTCTCAGAACGCACATGCGCATTGTAAGCATACGCGGGCAGTCTCAGAAAAAAAAGGGCCTAGCCTTCGAGGGATCGACACGGCTTCGTTCTCCTTCTCGGCGTGAGGCCGACGGAAGCCTGACGAAGTAAGGTGGTGGCGGTTCCGTTGGCATGCGTGGTCCCGCGCCAGCATGCGGCAGCGGAAGGCCAGCTGCAGTGGGCGTCGCGCAACGGGGGGGGGGGCCTCTCGGGGGATCTCTTTGGGGCTACGTGGGCCGTCCTGAGGCCATCTTGGGCCTCTTGCAGCTCTCTTGGCCGTCTCGGGATCCTCTCGGACCATCTTCGGGGCCTCTTGGGACGCATCTGGCCCCACTTTTGGGCCCCTTTGCCTCCTGCACAGGTCTAGCGGGAGCACGGTGGGAATCGCGAGCCGCTTTCTGAGAATCCAGCATTTTGGGTCCAGGCCTCTGCAAGGTTAATCTTCAGGATTGAGGACCAGAGCCTCAAGGGATCTGAGGACACTCCAATTCGTGCCTTGAAATATTGAGGCGGATCTGTTTATACATGCTGAGTTCGGCCTCTCTATATATTTGTTGGTCTCACTACATGTCACGTGGTTACATTTCGAAGTCGATCTGCGCGTTGAGTTTAGTTTCAGATCGCGTGTCATTTCGATGCGCATGTCGATTGCACTTCTATGTCATTGCCGATTTTCAAATCGATGGGAATTTCGATATGCATGATACCTGCATTTGGAGTGACATGCTGATTTGTATTCCGATTGCAATTGGATTTGAATTTCGAGCTACATTACCCACGGGACAATCGACTCGACAACCACGGGGCAATATGCGGGGCGACCCACGGGACAATCCGCGGTGCAACCCACGGCCCATGGGACAACTCACGGGACAACCACAGGAAAGCCCATCGGGCAACCACGGGACAATCCTCGTGACAACCGCGGGTCACCCACGGGACAATTAGGGGACACCCATGGGACAACCTCATCGAGGCACCGTGGGACCGAATCTGAATCTGTTGTACGATTTGGCCCGCTTTGGCCGGCACATCGTCGACTTCGCGCAGCTTCGCACCGGCCTGCGCGCTTGAATCTGCCCCCCCCCCCCGCGGCCCCTGGAAGCCTCGCACCCAAGGTCACTCTTGCACAGGGACGCTCTTGTTGCGCAGAGGCGAGGTTCGCGGAGGTCTTTGGGAGGCTTCCAGGAGATCTTTGAGAGGTCCCTGGAGTCTCCGGAGGGGGCGGGAGGGGAAGGGGGGAGTGGAAAGCCCTGGGGCGCGTGAGTCGCCATGAAGCGGACGGATCCTGAGGGAAACGGGTCCTTTGGCCGCCCTGGGCCTTCCGCGGGCCCTGGGACTGTTTGGCAGCAGCTTGGGATGGAGAGCTGGGCCTGGGGGCAGGCTCCGGGCCCGAGATGTGCGCGGGGTGAGGCTTGCGGCCTGGTCTACAAAAGGGCTCGCAGCCGCCAGCGATCGGAGGTGGAGGAGGAGGAACTTTAAGGGTAGCTCTTTGGGAGATGTTATAGTATCGGGAGTATAGCTCGCGCGCCGTTGCCTTTGGCTCAAGGCACGCGCGCCCTATTTGCCCGGACACCGCGAGTGTTCGCTATGTGCTGGAAAGACCGATACATCGATCTTATCCTATCTTATCCGTCCATTCCTCTTACTGAACAGCCTCAGTACGATACCGGACGCTATTTGCCATCCGCTTCCCATGGAATCGGATGCTATTTGAGTTACCAGGCTCACTTTCGACTTGGTAGCGGAGCTGGCCGCACCCTCGTGTGATCAGCTCTTGCTCTTCTCATCCTCATACTCTTCGGCACGATCCTCGTGACCACCTACCACCCTGCGCTACCACTCCCAGTACGTTTCGAGGATCTATCCAAGAGCAAGAAGCAACACGAGAGGTACGACGTCTAGATAACAACATTGGTACCATATACGCTTCATCACTGCGCTACTACCAACCGCTCGGCAACGAGCCAAAAGCGCAATACTTGAAACATGGGCGGAGAGATCCGCCAGATAGAGCGCCTCGAAGACTCAACAAGGCGCTACCCCAGCGCGGCAACGCGCCTAATAACCACCCCTATCTACACAGCCTTGGGCTGGTTATATTCGCTATCATATGGTTCGCGCTGGGGGCAGCAATCGGACACATGCGCCGCGGAGAAAACAGCACCGATGGGCAAACACATGGCCCATACTGGGACCCTCAAGGCAACGTACCTTGTCGTGAGTACGTTTATGAGGTCAACGCATGGCTCAACGTCACTAGCGGACGTATGACGCCACAGGCCCAAGCGGCCGCCATACAACGCGGCCTAGGTGGCCTAGCGAGGACACTCGCCATGAGGGTACCACCTGACATTATAAAATATGGTGCTGACATCGATGGGGTCCACACAGACCCAGTGACCTACATCATGTTCCTCCTAAGCATGAAGTTCGAGCGCCTGGAAGATGAGCGCCAGCTCACTTCCGGCACACAGCTCATCGACTTCCATGTGCCTCACGGAGAACGAATCGATGTCACTCTAACCTGATTCGAAATGGCCCGGCTTGAGGCACAGTCGGTGGGATTCGACCTTCCCAACTTCCAGTTACTAACCACGATCTTGTTCCGCGCCTTAGGCGTCGGCAACCAGCGAGCCATGCAACTCTTACAGCCACTCAATCATCAAATGCCCCGAACTCAACAACAGTATGATGAGTTGCTGGAGAGGATGCGTTCGAAAGGCCACCTATCAGAACGGTCTCCTGGTAATATAGGATCTGTGTTTGGAAGGGGAAGGGGATCTGGTAGTGGAAATTTCTACACTACCTTAACCACTGAAGCCCAGCCTGGAAACGGGCCCTCAAGCATATGGGCCGATGATCCCGGATAATCTACTGCTTCATTGGCAGGGGATCGACCACAACCAAGCTGGGCGACCAGCCCTCCTTCCAGAGACTCTCAACCACACCGTTCTCTGTGGGGTGAATCAAACCCCCTTACCGACGGTGTGTCCACCTACGTGGGAGACGATGATTTCGACTCCGGCACCGACACTGATACTGCATCATCCGACGGTGTTGAGGCTTTAGTCTGGTCAGATATCATGAATATGGAAACTGACAATCAGCGTGCTGAACACCTATTTTGGTTATTACAACAGGCTAAACGGAGGTGGAGGAGGTCCACGCGAAAACCAGTGCGACGTGTTCGGAGAAGGGTGCGGAGGAGCTTCAAAGGAAAAGGTAAAGGCAAGCGGAGTCGTCGGAGGTTGAACGGACGAGGCATCGCGGCATTCCCCCAGAGGCTCTCAGATGAACAGTGCGATGAGATATTCTTC